TGCTGACAGGTGACGACCTGCCTTCCTTCCCTTAACTCTGGGTTTTACAGGCTCCATTCTGATGACTGTGAGCCAGGACAACGTCCACGCCCTGTTCATCACCTAGGAGGGGCACAGCGCGCTCGCCCTGTCAGCGCCTGACGTCCACCTCCAGACCAAGGTCGAGGAGGGACTTACGGTGGGATGCCCGCGTGTCAGAACAGTGCCCTTGGCTCCGAGAGCAGGACGAGCTGGGACCCAAGTGAGACCTCCTGCTAAAGCGGACACAGGGGCGGAGACTGAAGACCAAGGGCAGGCTTGCTCTTCCATCTTACGTGGTGAAGGCCCTCTCACCCACCCTCCAGCACCCTTATTCTGAGGTCATTCTCCTGGTGTCTGCAGGGTCCCACACTGAACAAGGTGAGCTAGCGGCTTCCTATGGACAGAAGTAGAAGCCATAAAACTCACAAAAGTTCACTCCTGTCTGTGTGGCCTGAGAGAGAAGCCTCCTCTGAAAACACCTCCTTGTGTCTGAGTCCTCTGAGCTTCCTGACCTGACTCACACCAGTACCCGGTACCCTCTGACTCCTGTGGGAAGAAGGGTCCTGGCGCTGGTGCTGAGACTGGGTGAAGCAGGAGGCAGAGAAAGAAGTAAAGATTTCGTCAGCTCGGAGCCAGGCAGGAACGGCAGAGGGTGGAGAGGAAAGACGCAAATCATAGGGCTAACTGCTAATATTTACTAAAGGCTTATCACTGGCCAGGTGCTTCACCACCCTAGGAGGGGGGCCCCAGGCCCTGCCTCGCCTACCCCAGGGCCAAGCGAGGGCTGAAGGGCTCAAGTCGCTTGCTCAAGGCCCCTGGCTGCAAGTGGCAGAGCCGGGGCTGAACCCCGGTGACGGGAGCAGGGCGATCACGCAGCCCTGGATACCAGGCCTTGACAAGCGCCCCCAGGCAGGGCTACCTGGCCTCCGAGACAGCAACTGCTGCTACAGGGAGAGGACTGACGTGGGTGTCAGGGCCGGGTTTCAGCCACAGCTCTGCGGTTCATTGTGATTCTCGTGGCCGTTCTCCCTCTTTGAGCGGTCCCCTCACTGTGACAGAGCGGGAACTTCCACTGTCTGGCCTCTGAAGTCTGGGCAAACTCTGAAGGGGAAGCTAAGGCGATGGAGGTGGGGCAACAGCACTGCTGAGACTGTCTAACTTTCCAACAGGGCAGGAAAGATTAGTTACTGAAAAACCTGTTTGGGTACCCCAGACCAATGTCTCAGTCTCAGAGGCCAGTACCACCTTTCTCTCTAACCTCAGAGGCGAGTAGCAGTTTAGAGTCAAAATGCACAGGATGTTTGGGACAGGAAGAAGAGGTTCTAATAGGGCTTATAGTCCGTAAGTTTTGTTTGTTGAATGAATAATGAACAAAAGTCAAACCTAGGTATTAGAATACCTCTGTCCTCCTCACCTAGAATACAACCATAAAGCAGAGAAGACAGGAAATTCCTAATCTGTAAACGGGTGTGCTCTAGAGGGGGCAATCCCCCACGCCCCACGAGTTCAAGTTCCTGGAACCACTTCACTTTGTATTAAGTAATACCCTTTACTGGAAAAGTAGGGCAAACTTCAAGCTACTTCCTGACTGGCTTATCTGGACTCTGGCTCTATTTTCCAAAAGGATAATCTGGGAGAGGTTGGAACAGAAGATATAAAATCAGCTCAGGAAGAAGCAAAGATTCCCCTAAGGTAGAAAGTTAATACTTAGCAGAAAAAGAAAAGAAGAGAAAAAATATGCAGAGAGGAGGCAATGATACAAGACCAGGAAAAAATGGATGTATGTATGTTTAATATTTGATCTGACTGACTGACTGATTGACTAGTCCTGGGGGATCAAACCCAGGGCCCCATCATGTTAGGCAAGCACTCTAGCACCGACCTACACCCCCAGGGTCTAAAAATAAAATATTTCAGATGTGGAGTTGCAAGTGAGAAAAGAGAAGGAGTGAGGAGAAAATGGAATTCTTAGTATCCTACAAAAAGTAAGGTGGGGCTGGGGACGTGACTCGGTCCTATAGCTCTTGCCTTACATGCATAAGGCCCTGGGTTCGAGCCCCAGCCTACCAAAAAAAAAAAAAAAAGTAAGGAGGAAGGAGGGAGGTGGAACTAATTTAGGCCTGTGTCACCGAAGTGTGATTCACAGACCCCTGAGCACTTGCAATGATTCTTGGAAAACAGTGCTCTGGTTAGGCGAGCTAGGAAACCCTTCAGCAGGTCCCCGTGCCCGTTTACGGAAGAAATGAGATATGCCTTCCTCAAACAGGTCTCGAACCCCTGGACGAGAGGGCTCAGAGGCCGCTCTGCTTCTAGCACTCTCTTGCTCGAATCTCCAAGTGGGGCGGGGGACGCAGCTCTTACGCAGTGCCCGGTGGCCACCAGCACAGTGCTGCCACTGACCCAGGCTGGCTTGGTTTTGTGTGGGGCGGGCAGGATTGTGTAGCCAATGTAAGATATCCAGAATTGTTATTTTAAGCCCAGGGAATATCTGCATAAATTATATTATAGAAATTTAAACTGTCCAAATTCTACTGGCCCAATATTTGTTTCAACTTCATAAACAAGAAAGTCTCATATTCACCTAAAATTCAGCATAGCGATACATTAAGATTTCCAGCCTTTTTTTTTTTTTTTGGTTTTTTCCAGTACCGGGAATTGAACTCAGGACCTTACGCTTGCCAGGCAGGTGCTGTGCCGCTGAGCTAAATTCCCAGCCCCCTTCAGCCTTTCTTGAGTGTGGCTCTGGGTGGCAAAATTTCAGCATTACCACTAACTCTTTCACTTCCCTACCCACACCAAGCTCCTAGTGCTGCGAACTGAACCCAGGGCCTCCGCACTTAGCTCCACCCCCTACCCCCACTCCTGCTTTATTTTCAGTCAGGGTCTCACTAAGTTGCCCAAGCTGGGCTTGAACTTGTGACCCTCCTGTCTCCCGCTGAGATCACAGGAGATTCCACTGCAGAACGGAATCCAGTTTCTTTCACCCTCTTTATGAAGTATACATGTTAATAACTGTAGGGCAACAAGAGCACAGTTGTCTGCTGCTCTGGCAGACGGGGGGGCATCCGATCTGACAGTACTGGGCGATGGTGTATTATCCGGTTTCTGGTATAATAACCACCACATGCAGCTGGCGTGAGCTGTCCTGTGTAATCCTTGTTGGGCTCTGGTGACAGTGGCTTCCTCGTCTACACGTTCAGTGCCACTTTAATAACAACAGGCTCCTAAATCTTGCTATGATCCATATAAGCTCAGCGGCATTAGATGCGTTTATCAATGACAGGGCTTCCCTTAAATACTTGAACTGACCTGCATTTCGTAGGACCTGCACTCTGTTTGCTCTTTCACTCTCCAATATTCTGCCAAGGTGAACCACAATACATAACTGTCTTGCTTGCAAGCGCTCACAGGCCCCTGCTCTGTACCTCCCTCGGCTAACAGCCTCACCACTACTTACTCACCGCTACTTTTCTAACTGAGCTCCGCTTCTTCGCAGCAGGCCTGTTCTCTCCTTCTCTGGCTGGCAGGCTCAGGTCCAGGGCCTGACCCAGGGCCTCTGGTGCTTTCCTACTCCAGCACTGGTCATTTCCACCTCCGAGAACATGCAGGCTCCTTTCTTCCTTCACAGCCCCACTCACTGGCCCCAGACGAGAGGCCCATCTCTCCCCAGTCTGTAGAACCTGGTTTACATCCCAGCTCTTCCAAGTCACTGCTCTTTCTCCTTCTCAGTGTTCAAAGCACTTCACAGCCACCACCAAATCACATGCTACTTGGGGTTGTTACGAAAGTGCTGCCTGGGAAAGTCCCACTTGCCAAAAGTGGGCTGGAAGCTTCAGGACAGGCGGAAGTGAGACCTTACACTGCTTCCGAATCTCCTTTCCTGACTGACACAGCCCCGTGCACAGCAGCCCTCAGAAATGCTGGATGGACAGACTGCTGTCTCCATTTTCCCTGCTGGCCCAAGGGAAGGCGCACGGTCACTCCGCATGGACAACCTTACTACTGAAGCAGACGCGGCGTTCGTCCTGAGATGAAGCGGCATTGGGCTTTGAGCACATGAGCACATTGTCTCTTCAAACCATGTCACTGCACCTAGCAGATTAGGGTCTAAAGACATGAGTCGAAGTGTTTGGAGGTAAACTTGAAATACTAAAGCGATACTCTTGGAAAAACAATCGTGTTCCTCAAGCAGACCACAACCAACAGTTATTCCAATGGGAATCTCTCCTAGGTCAATCTGATTCTCCAGACTGGGTGATGAGGCTGACCTGTCTTCAGCTCGAGTGTCCTAAGCAGGTCTAAAGATTAAAACACACGGGTCAGATACGCAGCGAGAAGCTTCTTTTAGACCCACCCAGCCCACGTGACTCTCGTACGGTCTGGAATCAGGCTTTCCCGGCCCTTCACCAGGGACTGGCGTGCCACCCCACTCAGCACACTGTCTTCTGTGGGCACCTCAGAAAGTACTGTGACTAGGGCCGGGGACTTAGCTCAGGGGCGCACCATCTGCTGGCAAGCATGAGATCTGAGTTCGATTCCTGGTTCCCCTTCCCCTCACACAAAAACTGTGACGAGGTAAATTCTGAAGTTTCCTAAAACTCTGAAGTCCAAAGGGAAGTTTTATTTTTCAAAGTAAACAGGGAAATCCAAGGCTACCCAAGTATAGGAAATCATCAGTGCTTTATTTTGAGATAATTAGGGTTGTCTTTTTTCTGTCAATTTTGCTGGAAAGCACCTCCAACACACAAACACACCCCCCCGCCCCCCGCAGCAATTTCCTTTGACTAACAGAGTTGACAGCAACGAGCGATCGAGCACACTGTCGGCATTTAATTGAAACGCGCGGTTAACTAAGGGTGGGGGTGGAGGCAGAGCTGCCTGCTCACTCACCACCGAGCCAACAGAACCACTCCCCGCCCTCGGCGCTCATCACGCACTACCTGCGCGGACGCACCCTCCCCCCATCTTCCCAACCTCACCTGGTTGATAACATAGATACCATAGTCCAGCTGCTGGCGCTGCAGAATTGGGTGCAAGTAATACAGCCAGTACTTGAGGTGCTCCTGCCGGTTGCGGAATGGAATGATGACGGCCACCTTGTGAGGAGAGAGGCAGTCCTTGGGGGTGTGACGGCCGCCCATCCTTATCTCTGGGTTCTCCTTTGCCAAGAGCTCCAGATCCACAGGAATGTTAAACTCGATCAGCATGGGGCCCACTAGAGAGGCGGAGGAGAGCAGGAGTTAGGAAGCCATGGGATGCACCCTTCCCAGACTACCGTGGCCAGGCCACGGTGGAGAGGAGCACCTTCAGGGAGGCCGCGTGGGTGTGGAAAGGGTGCTCACCCCGCCCAGCAGCAGGGGGCCCGTCTCTCCAAAGCCCTGAGCAGCCCCGCCTCCCAGGAAACCCCTCAGTGCCTGGCAAACCCAGGGCTGGTTACCCTCGGAAGCGCCCCCTGCCCAGGACCCCCCTGCCACCCTGACTCCACTGTACAATCGCGGTAACTCCTGCTCAGACATCCCGACAGGCTGCTGTAAGGATGAGCGAGCAGAGACGAGAAAGGACTTTCTCAGAAATCCTTAGGCTAAGACTGAGCCCTGCCATCCGCCAACTGTGGCCTTGGACAAAGGACTGAAACTGTCTAACTGGAGAAAGGCGTGTGTGTAGGTAGTGCGGGAGGTCAGCGTGGGGGAAACCAGCTTCCAATTAAATGTAGTGGGGAGCAACCGAGCTGAGGGGGGGTTGAACCAAACTCACGGGGAGCGGGAGGCAATGGACGCTGGAGGAGAAAGCAAAGACACTGCGGGGAAGAGCATCAAAGAACGCTTAGTAAGCGTAGGAGTAACAGTAACCAAGGGGACAGACAAGGATCGCAGGTGAATTCGAAGTTTCTGGCCTGGAAGAACACGGATTCAGATCAGAGACCTAAGTCAGAGAATTCCCGGTTCAGAAGAAAAGGGTTCAGAGATGAGGTGGCAGATGCTGAGGGAGCAGCAGGTTAGGAGCAGAGCGAGAAGGAAAAGGTCGAAGTCCCCGACAGGGCCTGGGGCACACATGGCGTCGTCCAGGCATATAAGGGGAATCAGAGACATGCAAGATGTACACCTGCCTCACAGCACTGCCTGCCCCTCAGACTTCCCCGAAATGGGTTCCTGGGAACACCAGGCCCAGAAAGGTGCTGGCAGAAAACACAACCCTGGTCAGGTCCGGGAGGGAAGCCTGCTTCTGCAAAAGCATACGGCACACCAGCGGCCCCGAGACACTGCAGACAAAGAGCCTCTCTCACTGTGTGAGCTCGCTATCTCCCCTGCTCCTTGCTCACAGAATTGCTCGGTCAGAGAACACCTCTGGGAACTGTTACTATACTGCCGCCAGATGTGCCTGCGAAGCAAACCAGCCACTAGGCCAACGGAGCCTACAGAACCGGAGGCACGCTAACCACAAGAGCAGCTTGGGCTCGCTGGCAACGCCGCGGTGAGATCCACCCAGCCCTGCCCGGGCCCGGCTGCGGACCTAAGTCTGCCCCGCTGAGCAAAAGCACACGGCTCCCCACGCACCCCGTGTGCCCAGGGATCACACACCCTCCTGAAACAAAACAGCCTGGGAAAAGGAAACTGTCAGCCGCCTCCTTCCTGAGGGCAGTGCCACTCCCTTCCCTTCCTCAGAGCACTCCCCACACCACACCACCTCCTCCCCACCTCCAGTAACCCACTCCTTCAGCTCAGGGCCATTCCCTTTAGCTCACTGTCTTCCGAGCACAGCTCTGACCAGACCACTTTCCCACGGAAACCGTCCCATGGCTCAAGGCTGTCTTATACACGGTAGGGCCAAATCCCGCAGCTAGGCAACAAGGCCCTCCAGTCAGCTGCCTGCCTCTATCTCCGCCACTATAAACCATGCCTACGTCACCTACGTCCACCTTTCCCTTTGCCAGAAATGCTCTTCTCCCGTGCACCACAAACTTCTGCACTGAGAGACAGGCTTTGCCTCAGCTGGGCTTCACCCTTTTACTCTTCATTACCACAGAATTCGGCAGCACATCTCCAAGGCAGAAAAGATCCTCCAAACTTAGCCAGGCATGGTGGCACATGCCTGTAATCCCAGCACTCGGGAGGCTGAGGCAGGAATATTGCTGTGAGTTCAAGGCCCACCTGGGCTACAAAGTATGTTCAAGGGCAGCCTGCACTACACAGCAAGTCCTTGACTCAAAAAGAAAGAAGGAAAAGAAAAGTTAAAAGTTCTGCTTCCTCCCTAGTCGTGACCTCCCTCCTGGAGGCCAGGGCCCTGGAAGATCAGTCTCCCATGGGACTGCTGCTGCTGACTCAGCTCCAGCCTCCCAGGACGCCCTCAGGGAAGCAGGCGCTATAATCCACGACTGAGTCAGCGGTCGCCGTGGACCAGTTTCCCAAACCTATCATCAGAATCTCTTAAGGCAATGGGCATGTGAAGTCTCAGGGCCTCCCCTAGACAGTCCAACTCAGCAGATCTTGGGCAGGACTGACAGGGATAATTAACAAGGCCTAGTCAGTGATGGTGAACCACTTAGAGCTGTCAGCGACACAAACAGACCCCTGAGGCACCTGTGCTGCAGGTGCCCCACCACTGGCACAGGTGATTCTAACGAGGCACGCTGGGCAACAGGGAGCTGGATGGCGCATTTGCTAAGGCTTGAGGCTTTCGGTAATGGGGGTCCTCAGGGATTCCCACCATTTCCATCCTTTCCCACAAGGTCCACCTGGCCTAGGCCGTTCAATTTTCCACCCTGGCAAAGACCTCTAGGAGGCCCCATGAGAAACAAGAGAAGAAGATGCATCACTAGGCCCTTCTCACTTCAGAGGGCCCCTCCACATCTGCAACCCAGCCTGTCTTTTCTTCTGAAGACATTACTAATCATCACGCACTTTCGGGAACCCAAGAAACATCTGCCTGTTACCCTAAGACTCACTCATACATTCTGAAACCACCCCAGGAGACCAGCACTCACGTGCGGCCTGGCCGCCTGCCTGCGCAGATACCTGTGGGCTGCTTTCCTCAGACAGGAAAGGGGCCGTGAGGCAGAGAGCCCCACACAGGAGGAGGGTGCTCCGGCCCTGCTCCCGCTGCACAGGGATTTGCTGGAGGTCCTTGGACAAGCACCATCCACTCTTTCCCCGCTAGTTTCCCCACTTATAAATGGCAGGACTTTGACTGGATGAACGCCCACAGGTACTCGGGAAACTGGACAGAGAACAAGGACCCGAACCAAGATCTCCCGAAGACTCTTCCCTGCCCCCGAGAGCGCACGAATGACCAAGAGGATGGGCGATGAGTGTCCTGGATGGGAGAACAGAAAGCAGACCCGACCACCAAGTGCACACCCAGCCAAGTGCCCACCCACCACGTACGCTGCTCAGCCTCTTCCCCGTGTCCGCCTCCGCCACGGTGCCCTCTCCCTGCCCGACACCCTTCCTCCTCGCCCTCACCTCCAGGGCTTACCTCCATCCGCAGGACACACGCCTCATCTCCATCCCGTGTCTCCCTCCAGGCCACACAGCCACGGAGAGAGAGGCCATGGCCAGCCACGTGCCGCGGTCACCTAAATTCAACTTGCCCCAAAGAACTCATGAGGCCTGCCCACCTGCACCCCAGCCTAACCTCTGCCCTCGCGGTGCTTCCCCACGGCTCCCCAGCAACGGACACTGCTGTGCGCCCAGTACGGGAGCGGACGTGGACTGTCCACCTCCCGTTCTCGCCTTTCCCCAACCCAAACTACATCTCCCCCTTTGCCCGCCTCTCCCTCGCCTCCCGAACACGCAAACTTGCACACACACGTCAACATGCTGGCAACCCACAGGCGCCACCAGACACAAAACCAGGCTTTCTACTGTAAAACTTTCTGTTGAGACAGGGTCTCGCTATGCAGTTCAGGCTGGCCTCGAACTCGCAACGATCCTCCTTGCCTCAGCCTCCCGAGTACTGGGATTACAGGCATGCGCCACCACGCCCAGCAAAACATTTGTTTAATGCAAACACTCCCTGTGATGTATGAAGGCCACGTTCAACCTGTTTCAATCAATATCTTCTGTGGGTACCAACTGACAGCCCAGTGCGCCAGCCCAGAGGTCTGGGCTGAGGGAGGAAGGGTGGGCAAGACAGTTCCTGCTTCCCCGGTGCTCCGTGCCGGGCACACAGAGAAACTCACCCTGTTCTCTATCGCTCCTCCCACGGCTCTGTGCAGCGCTTCATCACTGAACAGCTTCTGCCTCTCCTGCCCCTCAGCCCTCTCCCCACCCCACCAGGCCTCCCACGCGGAGCACGCCTGAGCCCCAGCCCTGCCCTCTCTGCGCAACTTGACATACCCCCCCATCTTCTACCCGCAGCCCCCACAACTCCAGGACCCTGAAGCTCGCACCCTGAGACTGACGCGCACACCACAGCACCAGACCTGGAGGTGAGCGCCTTCCTGGGCCCACAGCCAACCGGGGGGGCCGCCCGGGAGCCCAACAGGGTCTGCCACAGTGCCGGGCCGACCGCCACCGCACACCCGGCTCGGCCCCAGCGAAGAGGCCCAGAGCTCACACTCCAGGAGGGCAACGATCACCACCGTTCAGAGTCATGCAGACCCACTACCAGGTCTCAAAGTCGCGGCCCGGGGCTCCAGGGAGACCCCCAGGAGGATGCGAAGGGCAGCAGCCCTCAGGCCCGCCCGGGGCAACCGTACCGTGCAGCACATTGCATGTGCTACCACAAAGCCCTCAGCCTGCTGAGCTGGCTTGTGTGTTTTCCTGGCTCCGGGTCTGGGAAGCAGGGTTACATAAACAGAGGAGCAGATGTGAGCTGTCCTCAGCTCCCCCAGCCCAAGTCCCGCCACGTGGGCCTCTCGGCTGGGAGTCCAGGTCATGGCCTTGCGTGTAAGTCCCTCAGTAACTTCAACGCGTGAGCTCCACTCACACGAATCCCACCATTCCCTTGCCCAGCACGGCAAACCCAAACACACACGAGCTCCTCTATCGAAAGCCGCGCTAACTCGAGCCAACCCCGGCCCGCCCTCCTGCCTTGTTTCCGTGCTGCTGAGCCACGGTTCAACCCTCCAGCCTCAGGAAAGCAGGCTGACAGGTCAGTGAGCGGTGCAAGACACAACCCTTGCTCTGAGGCTGGCTGTGACACTGCTGCACCGGAGGGGAAGAGATGATAAAAGTAAGGACCACTAGGTGGTCTTCATCAAGCTGGCAAAACACA